TAATTGTAACTTTTACTAAATCTGTATATATATATACTGTATCATACAACAAGGAGTTGTTCAACTTCCGTAATTCTTTACCTTTTCAAATTAAAAAAGATAAGACATGTGTCTTTGCTTTTACAATGTTCACCCAGTTTCAGAAAGTTAACCGATCCATACCAAATTAGTATATATTAAGCGCAAGTGACATTAATTCATAGCGCTAACAACAATCCAGCGTACCTTCCATGAGAAGACGTCAAGAAAAGAAAGAAAAGAAAAAGTAAGCTTTTAGTAAAATCCTATTTACGAGAGCCAAGTCTGGCTGTCGTTCGCACACCATGCTGGTGAATAGAGAAGTTCTGACTCATTGTCACGGCTTTTTCCGAAGCTTTAATAGAGCAACCAAAACAACCGCATCAATGACAAAGACCATCGAACAATCTGGAAATAAAAAGAAAGAAGTAATTTCCAAGTCAACTACGGGACGGATCCATGCTAATATCAAATATGTAAAATTCCTATGTAAGACATTAAGTAGTAGTATTGAAAATAACATATTTACACCAAGTCATATATGTATCTGAAAGGAACAGTACTGTAACTGCTTATTCAAGGAAGAACATTCAGATATACATATATACGTTCGGCAATTCACCGGAATCGATCGGAGCTTGCCGAATGAGAATAGGTAACAGGTCACGGAAGGTAACTCGTATGGAAGATAGTACGAGTTGTCCATATAATTCATATACATAAACGAATATAAGAAAATTAGAATATGGAGTGAAACAAGAACATTGATTACTTCATTCAAAAAGGGAAGAGGATTTCAATATCTTATTGATATGATAGTATATAATAATACTTTGTAACTATATATAGTATATATGCTTACCTGCACACACAAAAATTATTAATCCATTCAAATGTAACACACAAAGTAACACGACACTCACAATTAAGAAAATTGATCATAAGAGGACTGAAAAGTTCGCTTAGAATTGGCAACCAGAGAGAATGCCTCTGGAGTCCATTAAGTTCCCTTCAGTATTTTTGTGGACTTGATGACTTCTTGTTTCTGTCTGTTCTGTACAAACTTAACGATGTTGATCCGTGGGCGATCTTTTGAAAATCTACTCGGTCTGTGGACAGATATAGCAGTGGTACTTTCATGCGATCGTTGATAATGGACATAACACTCTTTACAATAATCCTCAACAGATTCAATGACTGAGGTATCCTGGAGTCAACAATCGTGTAAAGATATTTCTCCAAGTAGTCCTGGTCATTATAACGGTTCTCGTTATCCTCTCACCTTTCTGTGATTGATAATCTGTGGCTCCTCTATCTTACTGTATGTCTATGTTCATCATTACACTTTTCAAGATCCACGATCCTGCTTTCTAGTTTTTTTTCTGTTAATTCTACATTCTCTTTGCGTATGTAACTCAACACTGTGGTCGTCATTCTGTCCATCGTATCACTTGAAACAAAATAAAATAAAATCGATCAAACTCTCCTCCATTGACTTTTCTGCACTTCCATGAGTTTTTGTAGCTGGACCGCGAAGCCCCGAGCGTACCGTATTTGTTCAGTCAAGAAAGTCCCTTATGTATACACTACAGAATAGTTCCACAATAGGTTTACACATACAGGAGTACGGTATTCGTTGGTGTCAGTAGTCAAACCATTGTCCTATAGATAATGTTATCCAAAAACATATTTAGATCACAAACTCAAACAAAATTCTCTCAACGATAGATGTGAACTATCCTTAGCCATTACTGTTCAAATGAATACAAGAAGTATATAACTATATCGTCAGTGAGTCCAACACACAGTTCCATAGAATTTGTCTGAACCGGCCAACGTTATCCTCCTCCACCTAAAATCTCATACCGTAAGAAACGAACTGTTTTGATTTTTATAACTTCTGTAATACTCTCTTTTTCTATCCTTTTTAAGATACAATATAAACTCGGGTAATTCTGAAGTGTTTGTTGCACGGAACACCTAGCAGATACCGATCTGGACCAGTCACATATATACCCGTAAACAGATACTTTTGTCGCTCGAGGCGCACAACTCTTTACTTTCTGAAGTGTGAAACTATTTACGATAGAAAAAAAAGTAATAAACCAGGATATAGTGTTATTTCGATGAGTGCCGAGTTACGAATGACTTTTATAATCACCGAGTACACCTGTGCGCTAGAGACTCTACGGGACGAGTGTTTGTACGGCGTTGTGCACATACACATTTTCATGAATTCTCGACCAACATACATTAATCTCCAATGAGCGTTAAATCGTTAAATGATCGAAACTGATCAAATATAAACCAAGTTATGACTTGCCGAATTAAGAAATATATGTCAAGGACATGTGTTATATATACCGCTGGATTTTTTGAGGGGGTGAAAATTTGAACGCTACATTCAAACTTAAATTGTAATGAATTCGTTTAAAGTGTAACATCTTTATTCTATTGAAATATATTTCAAAGAAAAATTGAAATTTATTTGATTTGTTTCTTCTCGAGATATAAATCACTAAGTATAATCCTGGACTGGGTTTTAGGGACAGGTTCGAGATTGGGTAGGCTCGTACACCATTAATCGACGACATAAAAGAGGTGTAAATGTGGAAATTCTACAATGTACGACACATGACAGCATCAAAGGACACGCCGTGTAGACAAGGTCATAGGTACGTTATACCGCCACAAGCGAAGATGTTGCGATTTCGGCAAAGATATTGAGGTACCCATTAGAGACGAGAACGTGTTTCAACAGGTCAGAGAAATGTCTACCATTTCTCTTCAGGGTAGTGTACATGGTACTAAGATCTGCGGTCCTTTAAATATAAAACATACATGAACAAGCAAACTCTTCCGTTAAAAGGCCGAAAGGCCGTGATAATGGACGTAAAACAAGTTAAATGAATAAATAGGGGGGAAAGTTCAGGGAGTGACACCTATTGTCACTATAATACATATATATTGACTGTGGGACAGGAATTCGTGCCAAATCAATGTGGTTGGGCATAACAAAAATTATTACTAATGTAGGTAAACATTTCGTCAAACTAAACTGGACCAGAAGAGTATGAATTGTCAAAGTTAGGTGTTAATAACAATGGACGTTAATGTCGTATATAGAAATATATTTAAAGTCTGTGCAAGTACGTAGTAGAAATGTGTTATGAAAAAGTACTGCAATCAATTGTAATATTCATATCGTAGATGTATAAAATCTATTTTTAAAAAAAACGGTTTATTGGTGTGTCTAACTTATTTCTTGTCACAATTTAAACATCACACTGCTGTCCTTATTTAGACCAGGTGTTCCGAAAGAATAAGCGTCTTCTGCTTCATCGATGACGCCCGTCATGTAAACCTTGGTCAATCCAAGTAAATAATGTCACTTTCTCAAATGGGAACAAAGTATACAGCAACGAACCAACAAGCAAACTAACGAGCATCAAACACGTCCAACTTCATATCAGACAAAGAAACAGTATACTTCTCAAAGAAATAACTATGGCGACCTTTACACTTCCCACATAAATATATATTCAGAGGTCATTATATATAATAGTATCTCCGACAGGATTCAAACCCATGACCTCAGTCTGACGTGTGTAATGCTCAGACAGTAGAACTGAAGAGAAAAGCTATGTCTGGTCGTGCGATATATTGTGGCTGTTTTTTCAGGTTTACACTTCAATGATTTTCATTTTAAAAATTATAAGCTATTTCTGATTTACCATACGCCATTTTATATCCTTAAAAACACATTCTGTGAACCAAACAGGGTTTTTCCTCCACCATTATGTAGAGCTAGTAAGTAATCATATTACTTTTCCCCTCAAGTGTACTTCATAATTTATACTGCTGAGCTTATCTTGCTAATTATCTTACCGTGAAGCATTCACTGTAATACATCGCTTCTGTTAGTTAGGATATAACAACCGGACGAAAATGTATTGATTCTAAATTACGTTAAAGATTCTAGATCATAATGACCACTATTTCAATATATATATATATCGTTACATTCCACTTAGCTACATTAGTGTATATATTCTATTAATTAATTAGAGTGATCTGAGTAACCGTAAGCCATTCGATAAATGCTCATTGACCTTTGGTCTAGATATGTCAATGTCTGTCTATACTGAAATGAATGTGTTTGTATATGTGTGTAACGTGTAAAATGTGTATGAGACATGAGACGTTCCCATAATTAACCCCCCCCCCCCCTCCCACTTACTTTTCTTGTTTTTTGTGTTGATTTTTCATTTTAAAATTATTCGAAATATATATATACTTATTATCCTGTATTATTTTATTTTGATGGAGAGAATTACGATAGGGTTTTTATTAAATCCAACTGACTTTGTAAACTTACCAATAAAATGTGATTACTGCAAATTAAATATCCGTATTCACCGTAGCTCACAAAAAGGCCTAACATACACTCATTCGTAATAAAAGAATAAAAAGCAGTCCTGAACATTCAGTAATGATCTATATCTTAAACATTAAAGCTGAAGAAGACTTTTTATGACGAAAATATGAAAGGGAAGCTTGACATGCATCGCTGAGTATTTCATGGACGTTCGGAGGTGTATACAGATCTTTGACTGTGTAACTAAATAATTGCAAGTAGTACTCTGCAAAACGGTGAATGATGAAGGAAAGCTTACTTTTAATCTTAACCTATGGGTATAAAGCCATATACAAAATTTGAGACAGTAATATTTACGAATAAAACACAACAACAAAATACGAATAATTTCCCAAGATCACAGGGCCATAAATACGTCGTCTTTTTAATACATTTTGCAGAATTTAGAAGTAACTGCCTTTTTTTTCATCTTCCATGCTTTAATTTTGTCTAGAGCATAACACTTAAATTGAAAGAGGAATAAACATGAAACATGAAAGGAGGGCAGTGCACAAGAATTCATAACTCTCATAATGTCTTTGACGGCCTTTGTTAATACTTTGGTTCAGTCTGGTAACTCGTCATCAATATCAGTGGGTTCCTTGCAGTTCCTATGGTCAGGGTGATCCACTAACCAATCTGTAATTGATTCGTACAATTGCTCGAGTTTATAGGCATTGTGTAACTTTTTACACAGGTCACAAAAACGCAGGTCTGTTTCCTCTGCATAATAATACTGTCTCCAGGCAAAATATTTCTCAAACTCTTCTTCACTGTTTGTTAAAGATTCCATTGTCTCTGCAAGCTTCTCAATGGAGAAGTCCTGCGTACTGATATATGAATTTGGCGGAAGAAACATACTGTATCGGTCGCCAGATCCTCTAACAACAGGTATGACGTCAATGCCTTCCTGGTATATACCCATGGCTTTTTCAGTGATATAATCTTCACATAAGCTGTTTTCGAAAGCCAGATAATACCTATATTTTTTATGAAGTTGATAAAGACAGTTGCTGCTGCTGGACTTCGGACAGGTCATATTACCACAACTACCATAGATATCCACGTGCACATCACGCTGTAGGAGACGAACATATTCCTGGCGACGACTCTGTGCGTCACAGTTGGATACAAACCATGCTGCCATCTTTTCCTTAGAGGTCCAAACAAAAGGCGGCACGTGAGTGTCATACTTGGACGTCCTCCGTGCAAAGGAGCCATATGGTGCAAAGATATCTGAATCTCTTCTGTGTACCATTGTCCAGTTAAAAACTCGATTCCAGTCTTTTAACCTGTCTCCAAATGTTACTGGCGCTTCCATTGCGTGCATAATCCACAGTTGTCCTGGATATTTCCATGGTGGTTTCAAACCTAATCCGGGGCCGTGAAAAATTATGGCTTTTTTATTTCTGATAATATATTCTCCAGAGGTCATGATACAGCGGTCTGGGCATCTACTGAAAGCATTCAGTGAAACATGTGGAGGTCTGTTATAGTAATAAACTTCTATGGGTTTTTGCTCGATTCCTAACTTCGGTTTTTCCCAAACAACGAGTGGTGGGTCGGGGAGTAAATATACTCCAAGCTCAATGAAGGTGTCCAAATTCGTCAGGAAAATGAAATTCAGGCTTGCTATTACCAGAAATAAAAGGAGGCTCCTTTTAGAAAAACTGAAAAATGGGAAAGAAAACGTCTGACTGTTCCTTCAAAAAACTAAAAACTAAATACATATTTTAAACTACAAAAAATATTTTCCTTTGTGTGCAACAAAGATCATAAGGTCATTATTTATCCCAACTCTCTGCTCGGTGTCAAACAAAGGACTGCGGGTCGTGTGATCAACCTGTAAAACTAAAGAGAAGATTTTTTCGAACAAAAAGGTGTGTATTGCGTACTATCAATCAGGGTTACACATTATAACAGCTTTATACCACTTGACGTGTTAAGATCTGTTTTAGAAAAATATATATCAAAGACTTCCAACAAGTTGAGAATGAGGAAATCATAAGAAGAATTGTCTGATATTAAGAGACCACATAATACCTTTGTTGAAATGATACGATTTGAACAAGGTAGGATGGCATCATATCCGGGTCAAATAATACTGGAAAAGATTCATCAATCCTTATCGCCAAACAGTTCTATAAATAGAAATATGAAGCTTTTCTTTTACTGGGTTTCATTTGGAAGCTTATTACGATCCTTCCAATAACATTTGGTTCTATCTCCTGACTAAGATATCCCAGGGTCTATGGAATTACCTACGTAACACTGTGGCTGTGTAACGACTACTTTTTCCTATTGTCTAGATGAGATGACAGATGATAGTTGGGGCCCTCAGAGGTATACTTCATTGTGATAAAAAAGAACCCGGCTTCAAACATGTCACAGCCTTCCACAAACACATTGTTGACCTTCCATATATAGGAAAGTCGTCTATAAATAGCCATAGTTGTTGAGTAACACAATCTAAATCCCAGCAAATAAAACGTTTTGGAATGGGGTTATGCGACCTTACATTAGTCATACCTAAATGGTGTAGAATTCAGATGATAGGCACGCTACTGTCATGTACACATCATCCCTTACCATGTACACAGGAGCATGACTTTCCACCCAGTAACATTATACTACCAATGGAGACTTTATCTACGGCTTGAGGATGGAATACAAAGCCTTGTTCATATAGCCAGATTCTCAACACTGAGGATAATGGGAGATATCACTACGACAGCTGCGTGTTGTTACAAGTGTTATTAGGGAGTTATATATATATATATATAAAAGATATTCTCGTGAAGTTTAAATAACTAGTGTTTGGCTAACGTTTCAAATCAGTACCATCAGTACAGGTCATCGAAAACTTAATTGTTTAACACTTGAAATACTTAAGACTTACCTGTACTTTCTGTATACTTTCATATTATTCGTCTTCGTGGCTACAAGTATATACCTCAAATGAGATAAAAATATCAAAGTGTTGTATATCACACGCATCCATGCATCACTGACAACGGTTTTACGTGAACTACCTTTAATAGTTTTGTTTAATTTAGGAGGAAAGAAATCGAGGGGTACCTGAAAGTAGGTCGTAATTGCAATTTATTGAGAAAAATAAATTTAAAAGTTTATTTTTGTATAAGGAGAACTACAGATAAAACGTAAACGGTATTTATCGATACCGTCATAGGAACAGAGTTATACAATGTATATTAGTTATGTTTGTAAAAGCCTGCTGATTATACAGCTAATTAGCAATGTGTGACGTGGCACTGTCTCTGGGGTAATACAAAGCACCGTGTTCTATGCAACTACTGGTGCGAGTATTGATGCTGCTGTTGTAAGGCTGACAGACCAGAAAACGGTACCTGTCGCAGGTCAATTTTCAAATGAGCGACAAAGTAGACACAACCATTCAGGTGTGATAATATTATGTATAATTATGTATTATTGCTATTGTGGCAGGGTATCCCTTTGTATAAAGAACTGGAATATTGATAGCGTTACCAGTTGAAAATAATTTATATAAAGATAGATGATTTGTTGTCCTTATCCGGCTACAGTAAAACGTTTTTATAAAGAATCTCCAGAAACCAAGTAATTGCTTGTTTTAAACATATTTGTGAGATACGTAGGTTCGTTTCATACTACTTCCAGTCCGCTTTCTGTCTTTAATACATTCGCGACTACATTATCCGTGCCCTTCGCTCTGAAGCCAAAACTTGTCCGACATAATTCTTTTGTGTCGATGTCAATGTCGTGGTGTTTTTCTAGGACTTGTCAATGATGCTAAACAGCCTTGGTAAAAGAATTACATATCATTTGTGTTGTTGACTCAAACTTTCGCTTTTTTCAAACTTTGAAATTAATTAATCATTTGATAAATTCTAAACAATTTTGTTCTTAATATTGTAACATTAAATATAACATTATGAAATCGCTGGTTTGCTGTTCCTCCTATCGTTTGATTTGCTCAAATACTAATTTATAATCCCGCTATATTAACTACTCAATAATAAATAATGTATGTTTGTATAGCTTGCAAGGCCATAGATTCTAAATCAATAGTGTGTAATCCTTGGTTAAAACATATCTGAAATTCCTGTGTATTTACCCATGTGTGATATACAATACATTTTATCTACTTGAAAATATTAATATAATACAATGATAAAACCAAGTTCTCATATATTCTGTACATTAATATAATCACTTTAAATATCGTCATATTTATGATATCGATAAAAAATACATATTGCTACAAAACGCTGTAAGGGTTATTTCCCTTCGTATGAAGAGTGCATTAGTAATATGAATTGTAAGTGCATGTGTGTTTAATTGTATCGTTATTTAATGGTATTTTAATTGTTTAAATGTACATTTTGTAGTGATTATTATGTGTGTAATAAATATAACAACTGAACCCATGGGGTTGGCGTTATGCCCTGGACCAATCCCCCTCCCTTCCGTTAGATAATTTAAATTGATTTTTAGTTAAATTATCTACATTTAATTGTTTGTCCTATTTTGCGATAATATCAGTCATTTAAGAAAACTTGGTAACTAGTATTTACAAACCGCGTTACTTTACCTTCCACTCATGTTGTCCTAAATCATAATTATCTTTAACTTCGGAAGCGCCACCGACGTCACGTCAAATTAATTAGGTTTGGCAAGCAGGACCAGTAATGTACAAGTGAATAACCAGTATTAAATGATAGGGCTTTATCCTGGCGCGGAGTTTTTTTAATAATGGGGACTCAGGCTCCGGAGTGTTTCGCCAGGACGCGATTGGAAGGTTACACGGTATCGGTAGAGCCATCGGTAGCCGTGTACTTGGTGACTACAAATACTGAGTGAGCGTTGTAACACAGACCGAGACTGGCGCTTGACCCAAATCTTCTTTCAGCAATCTCTCCGTAATATTTTCTTTGATCATGAACAAACCCCCTCTCTCTGTATTGTGTTGTATTACGTGATTTTATCGTAGTTTTTCCTTTACTTTTACATATCTTTGCTATCATTTCATGTAAAAAGACGACAAATTATTTTTTTTTATTATATTAATTAAGAAATACATAATGCTATAAGTGGGCACTGTCTGGATCTTGGCATTAGAAATGATTACTATTTCGTACCTTGTATACAATTATATAAATCTGATTAGCCTTTTTACTGTATACTTTAAAGAGCCAGACCCACTCCTCGACCGATATTATTTTAAATTAAAAAAAATCACGATTTTCTATTTTTCTTGGGTAGCAAAAGTTATGACTAACCCAATAATACCGCAATTTTAAAGTAAATCGATACCAATCTAACGTAATAAATAGTTTTAAAAAAATAATTCGAAACGACTCAGTGCTAATTCATGATTATGCGGAAGTCCTGCCCTCTGACGCATGTGCAAAGAACTGTAAATAAATCTGCCGTCTTTCAACATGGCAGAAAGCGTGTGAGGGAAGCGGGGAAGAAAACGTGTTTTGACGGACTCTGAGGCGAAAAGAAGGAAGATGGTTGGTTCATACTCTTTATCGCTCTCTGTTAGGCTCTCTCGTGTAGTATCACTCTAAAATCATATTCATAAATACTCTTATCATCGAATATTCGCTTTAGATAGATCCATTTCGCGATGTTCTATATGTTCGTTACCGTATCGCAGCCCCCATTTGATGGCCTCTTTGCAATTAGTCGTAGTATTTCTCGTAATCTGCACGCTTTTGTGTCATATCTAAGCATTGAAAGATGTGTTCAATACATACGTTGGATGATTTCCATACAGGATATATAGAGTATTGATTGCATTTATCGGTAAAATCTCTTTACAAGCGATGTCACATGGACGAACTACTCACCTCTTCCTCCATTTTTGTTTGGGTTCTAACCGCGTCTGAACGTATCACGTGAGTTTTCCTCATCAATATTCCTATTCTGGTGTTGATTAATGAGACTAATTACGGCACCGATATCTCCGGTACCCTTTCAATTTCAAGTTCGAAACTTTATACAAGTCTTTATTTCTATATTAGTATACAACAACATTTCCAGTCAATAAAATATGAAAAAATATCTATTACGTGGGTCTGGCTCTTTAATAAACAATTTTGACTAAATATTTCATTATTACTAGCATTATCAATTTATATTATATATATTCATTGCATAGATAGTGTGATTAGATAATGACTAATAGGTTTATCTATACCACATTCAAAATAATGTTACATCATATTTACAAAGGTACAAACAATATTCCTTAATACGTAGATACATATTAGTATATGTACACCAATTATTTATCCCTTATACCATACGACTTCT